GTTGGAAACGTGAAAGCCCTCTGAAACTACCAGACCCCCACCCCGCCCCGAAAAAAGAGGAGACCAAACCACCAGAGTAAAATCCGCCAGCGCAACAACAGGAGGACCACCAACACGCAAAACCTCAAGACCACAACCGACATACCCGGGAATGACCCCCTTCCCCTTGCGCCACGGCCCAACCGACGACTCACCAAGTACACCTTCGCGTTCCAACGGTGCCGGTGGCTATGGTTGATGAGGTCCTCCGTCTGCTCCCACCCCCACAGCCGCATGGGCAGCGACGACGCCCTGAGGTGCCTGAGCACGAGCTCGGAGTGGAAGCGTACGTTCTCGCGCATCTCCTTCTCTCCCGCGTAAGGGACCCCGGGAGAAGTCTGGAACATCATCACGTGCCTAATGTTTCGGACGAGGTGCCCGAGCGCCTGATCGAGATACCGTTCGGTTTGATTTCGACCATGTACATATCAATCGGCACGAGAGTGGGAGTTGCACGCAGATGGGAGGGCGCGGGAGTGTTATCGTACATGCATAATCTCTGTACGAGAGCAACCGAGACTTAAAAAATAGTGCGAGAGATAGAGCATCCAGAGAGAGAGGACTAACCATCCAGAGCGAGGACGAAAAGTCAACAAAATGGCACGACTATAAGCAGCGTTAGCTTGCTCAAAGCGGCCCGCCGTTGACGACACCGCCGTGACGCCTGACACAAACGCATCTCCCAACAGGTGGGACGGGTGAATGTCGTAGCTTCGAAACCTACGCAAGACAATGACGGGACTGAAAGGAGGGCCGCGAGTCGCCAGCATCTTCGGTCAGGCGAAAAAAAATCGTCGGGGGTTTCTCTCCGTGCGGGTACTGCTACAAGTCGCAACATCGGCGAGACGAGGACTCTGTTGTTCCTGTGCCTCCCACAGTAACTTCTTGGACAAAGGATAGGACTTCACGTGGGTGACTCGATCACCGTACGTGTCCTTTCACCGCCACTTCGCAAAAATAAAAACACGGAAAGAGCTGAGACGGAAGCGCCCATCCTTTAGTACCCACGGAGCCCCTGCCAAGCCGGTCCTGGAGAACCAGCCCACCTTTCGAGGACTTGACCGAAAAGGGGGAAAAGCGTCTGCGCTACAAGTAAGCGCTCTTGGTTCTTTCTTCTTCGCCCGATGTTGCTGGTGAACATCTCGCAAGCCATCGGAGAACGGCCGTCCGGATTAGAAAAAGCTGAAAGTTGTGAACTAGATTGCGTAGACGTGGAAACCCAACCATGTGACCCCCAACACCACCACATTCACGAAGCGAAACAAATCACCGGGTGCGCTTTACCCCCCAAACACGTACCTCTTGGCTCTCCTTCTTGAGCTCTTCTTCGCTGAGCACCCTGACCTGCTTCATGATCGCCCGACAAGCCCGCTGCGCGACCCGCAGCGCGGGACTGATACTGCCGCTACCGCCGTTTCCTCCACCATCACCGCCGCCGCCGCCCGGCTGCGCCACCGCCGGCAACCCACCCCCCCCAACCGGCGCGTCCGTCCCCAGCTTGCACTCGAGCAGCGCGGCCAGTACGACCGAGAGCGACTCGGCCCCGAGCCACTGCTCCCCCTTCGCCGCCGCCAGCGCGCGCGCCTCGGCGGCGGCCGCCTCCGCCGCCTCGCCCGCCGCCCGCGCGGCCCCCACCGCCCTGGCCACCACAGCTTCCTTGTCCGCGGGGCCCCCGCCGCCGCCCTCCGCCGGGGAGGGGGCGTTCTGGGCGGCCTGCCTAGCCTCCGCCTGCGCCAGCTGGGCCCGCCGCGCCGTCTCCGCCGCCGCGGCCTTAACCCCTTCTCGGCGCCGCGCCTGGGAGTCGAGGCGGGCCGCTTGCTGCTCGAGGAGGTCCGCCGCGGCGCCGAAGGTGCCGTTGTCCATCATGATCGTGCAGACCTTGGCGCGTTGCTGTTTTGGGGAGAGGGGTAGGCGGGGCAGGGTTGGTGTGAGGTGGTGGTGGTCGCCGATACAAGAATTTGTCGGCAGGTTAGTGCTCGAATAGATGAGACGATAGCGTGGATTCTAGTTTTTAAGTGGTGAGGTGAATCGGACCCGGGGGGGGGGGGGGGAGAGGAGAACGGGTTGTACTTGTAGTGATACAACCCAATTCTGTATCGTCAAACGGGGTGGCGCGGGGGCTGGCGTGGGGAAAATTGCACTACCCTTGCAGGGGGAAAGCAACGGCCGCAGCTTCATGCAACCCATTGGAACCTGGCCCATTACGGGATAGAAAAGACCCCTCGCAACAGAAAGCGAGCGCAACCCCGGGAAAAGTATCGTGCGTTCGCATGTACGCAAGTCAACGACGTACTCCGCCAAAATGGTACAAGCGCACAAGAGAGGATGATCTACTGAGAGTGCAACGGCGCACCGACACCACTGTGCACAGATAAACAAAACGCGCAGAGGCCGCGACCGAAATACCAGGGTCACGCGTGTCTTGACGAATTTCATAAATTCAATCATCATCACGCATCAGAACCGCACGTACACACTGCTCTACATAAACAGCAGAAGTCACATCAGAAGCAACGTCAAATTACGGTGGGACTCGGCGTACCCGTATCCCAAGTGTTTGCCCATCAGCACAATCACATGCAATTTCCGATCCACGCTAACGTAGCGTGAACTTTTCTTTCAGATACAATTGATACGGTCACTAAAAAAATGAATCTAAGCAGAAAAACGTCTGCAGTTACAAAGCCGTCGTGGATCACGCAGACCATCCGCCGCCACAAATGTACGGCAGGGCAATCCTGGGCTTCTAAAACGGAATACCCGCGCATCACAACCAGTAAGTGACAACAACCAAAACAACCACGCCGCCACAATCGCTTCGAAGTACCGCCACGCGCTCCGTCCACCAACCCATCCACCGCCACGTGCTATATTCCAATCTAATCTATCCAAGGTTTCGCCTCGTCCCGTGAGCGGTAGCTCACACACAACTCTCTTATCTTTTCGCTTAGCCGTAAGAGGCCGCCCCCGCCCCCCAAGACCGGTTTTCAAAGTTCGATTGCTCCACAGCAAAGAATGCGCCACCACCAAAAATAGTGGTTTTGGAAACACCTCGTCGTCGAAGGCCTTCCGTAAAGCTATCGGGCTGCTTCCGCACCCCCGTAGTTGTGGAGCAATCGAGAGTTGAAAGCCAGTCTAGGGGGGGGGGGGCGGGGGCGGGGGCGGGGCGTACTCTTATGTTTTGCATGCCTTAACGGTTAAACCACTGACCACCCGTCCTCGAGAGGAAGGAGCTAGGGGGGGGGGGGGGGGGGGGGGGGGG